ATCTTATTTCAGGCATGTTTTAGATATTCCTCATATTTTATATCATTTGCGTATTACAGCTCACTTTTATGTATTTGGCATGTCGTGAGGTTTTACTCGTACGGTTGTTGGTTTGGTTTCGTTCAGGTCTGTGACCGTATTATAAAGAATCATCTATATCTGTGCGTATGGCAATGCATAAGGGTGAAGTGTGCATAAGAATGCATATATTTGTGCAAATAACGTACAAAGAAAATGCATACAATGTTAGAGAACTTTGCTTTGCAAAAATGTGTACAGAAGCCAACATCTCGTACAAAATTGTAGGTATTCGGAAAAATTTGCACTAAAATGCTGGTGAATTTTCATGAGACTGGGTGTTTTTTTCCCCCTTCAGAAAAATATTAAAGCTTCACAAACTGATGTAGAAATGTGTAGGACTGAATTTAAGATTGGAAAAAGGAGAAACTGATAGAAATGGAAATTGACAATCTCACCTGTCCCTAGTCCAACCACATCTGGAAGACTCCAAATGTCCCACACCCATTGTATGGTAACTAATTGGGCAGCCACTTTTTATATACACCAGGAATGGGAATCTGTGGCCTTCCAGGTGTTTTTGGATTCCACTTCCATCATCCCCAGTCAGCATGCCCAGTGGCCAGAGGCAATGGCTCTTGTCTAACCGTATAGCCATAGTCTAAGCATAACTGGTAGCCCAGTCTCTGATAGACACTACCAAGAAACCGAAATTTGCGGAACTGTCCCTGTTACAAGTGTCACTTAACACCTGTCCTGCATTTCTAAGAAAACGATCTTTTAGTGTGGCATTAGCTATTTTGGGGCTCTTCCCGCCTATCGACATCAGGCAGGTGCCTTCACCATTCTCTTCTCTTAGCACCTGCTAAAAACACTTTTGTTTAGACAAGCCTACCCAGATATCTAGGCTACCTAGCATGTTGACAAGTGCTTTGATCTGTTTTTCGTTCATTGCTGGTATTAGTGATCGGTATTAGTAATACTGGTAAATCGCAACTGTTCTTTGTTTCTATTGGCGAGTTCATTGTTTCATCCTTTATGTAAACCGCTTTGACGTTCTGTTTTGTTTTTAACAATCAAATGGTGTGAATTTCATGAAATAAAATAAGTAAATCAATAGTTCTCAGAGTGTGAATTCTACTGTAGCCCAAACAGGACATTCCATGCACCAGAGGGAGGAATCGGTAGGTTTTATGACGGCATAACCTCCAACCTTTTCTCCGGCGAAAATAGAGACATCCCATTCCATAATAATAACTTTACTACAGTGGTACCTCAGGTTACATATGCTTCAGGTTACATACGCTTCAGGTTACAGACTCCACTAACCCAGAAATAGTACCTCCAGTTAAGAACTTTGCTTCAGGATAAGAACAGAAATTGTGCTCCAGCAGCGCAGCAGCAGCAAGAGGCCCCATTAGCTAAAGTGGTGCTTCAGGTTAAGAACAGTTTCATGTTAAGAATGGACCTCTGGAACGAATTAAGTACTTAACCCGAGGTACCACTGTATTTATACCCTGCCCATCTGAATGGGGTGCCCAGCAACTCTGGGTGGCTTCCAACATATAGAAAAATACAATAAAACAATAAACAATATTTTAAAAACCTTCCCTATACAGGGCTGCCTTCAGATCCATACCCTCCACCATTCCTCCAGTGAAAATAGGTACGTCCTACGATACCCTCAACATTTCTCCAATGAAAATGGGGATGTCCTAAGGAAAAGCCAGCCATTCTGGAATCAAATCAGAAACCAGGATGGCTTCTGTAAACCCAGGACTGTCCCTGGAAAATTGGGGCATTTGGAGCATCTGTGATGGCCCCCTCAGCTCCATCAGGATCTGGAACGGTTTGCCAGCCCCAGACAGGGGAGGAGGAAGGGGATGGAAGACTGGAAGGTTGGCACCCAGGGACAGAGGACGGGGGATCTCAGAGACTGGAGGAAGTAGACCTGGTGTCTCTCTCTTCTACCCCTCCATCAGAGGAGTAAGAGAGAACCTTGACTTCAAGGGAGGGTGTGAAGGTGGAGCTGGATACAGAGGGACAGGACACGATCTTGTCACCAAGAATGAGGCATCAACGTCATGGGTGGGATCAGATGTACCTGCCCAGACAGAGTATGTGTGTGTGTGCAGAGTTGTCTTAAGCATATGTGGCGCTGGGGTGCAAAGATCCGCCTGGTGACCCATCCCAGGTTGCCCAGTCCCAGGTTCACAGGAGAGTGGAGCCGACTGGCTACCTCAGCATCTCACTGGCTCAGTCGCCCCCGAACTTGTGGGACAAAGCCGTCCACAGCAGAAGAGCCCGCCACAGCGCTCCAGCTGAAGGGCAGGCCCTTCCCCGGACTAAACTCTCAGGGCCCGGACTCTCGGCCTGGTGCACCTGAGAGCACGGCACCCGGGTGCCCCGCACCCCTAGCGCCTATGGGTAAGACGGCCGTGTGTGTGTGTGTGTGTGTGTGTTTGTAGGGCAGGGCTGTCAAGCAAGCGGGCCTCAATGCGTAAGTTCGCTCTCCCTCATCTTAAAAGGTTTGACAGGAGAGGCACGTCAGGACATCTCCGTAACTTGCGCACAGCTGTGACCCTCCTGGCTCGTCTCTTGCATGCTGGAGTCTTGAGTTCTGGAGCTTGCACTTGCTGCTGAGTCCATACCACAGTTAGCATGAATAAAGATCTCTTCCTCACTCTTAGGCAAGAGTCGACGTTGGGGTGTTTTGAGGACTCGGGGGAACCCCAAGCAAGGGGGAAGAAGGGTAAAACCCACCCTAAAATAATTGGAATTGAGGACGCTCAGTGGCCATGCTGGCTAGAGGACGGAATGGAGTAGCGTGGAAATGGGCATGGCTGGCTAGCTGGCTGAGCCCTAAAAAGGAGGACTGCGACATCTTGCTATAAGTCCCAGTTCCCTCTGCTGCTGGTACCTGCAAGAGGGTTTGCTAAAGGCTAGTGCAAAATATGGCAACTATTCTTCTTCTTTTAAAAAGAAAGTCATGTTGTTGATTTTTATTTCAGCACAAAAATGAGCTTGACAGAACCTTGAACCTTGAAAAACGGCGTTTGTCAGGTCTGGAAACACAAAGCAGGCTTTAAAACAGCCGTCTCTCTGGCTCTGAAACTCTGGGAGCCCCTGCTCTCCCCCGGAGGGTGTTTTCAGCGGGGGGTGGGGGGTGGGGAGGGCTCTATGAATTCACAATACCCGCTTGGGATTTCGTAAGTAATTGTGTCTGAAATATCCATTGCGTTGGAGAGATACTTCTCTTTAGAAGCAAAGCAGATCATTTGAATGTATTCCCCAGAGAGAGGGAGGCAGGCGAAGGAAGGAAGGAAAGAAGGAAGGAAGGAAGGGCTGGCGGGGGGGCGAGGGGGGAGAGAGAGACATAGGAAGATTAGTCCTTGTTTTGTAAAGTTTCAAAGCAATTCTGTTGTGGATTCCGCTTTCTGAAAATGTGTTCAAATTGGTTTTTCAGCTGAATTTACAAGCAAAAGTATATACCCCATTCCTCCAGCCGCAGCCGCCGCCACCCCGTGTGTGTGTGTGTGTGTGTGTGTGTGTGGAGGAGAGTGTGAGAGCGAACCCCCTAATCTCGCCTGCTTCTGTTTATTTACGATCCGTACAGATAACACCCTAGGAATTTTGTCTGCAGGCTTCATTACAGGCTGCCGGTCTCCTGGGCGGCAATGCATTTATAATTTTTATTGTTATATCTTTTAATTTTATTTTGCTTTCCTTGCTGTGCCGGAGAAAAGGGAAGATAGAGGCCTGTATTTATGGCAGAGCAAACGATCTACCCTGGGAGGATTGCTTGTATCAGTTAATTTAATCTTTACCAGTTTTATTTAAACTGGGTTCTGTCCCCCCCCCCAACCGCCCTAGCCAGCTTCCCTCTTTCCCCTCTGCACCATAAGTACACCCTCTCCTCTTTCTTGTTAGAGGATGATCAGTTTCTGTTAGGTGTGCTTTCTTAAAAAAAAATGCAAGAATATCTAACTATTTAAATGCATATATATATATATATATATATATATATATATGGGTTCTTTTCCCCCTTTTCCCTCGTTGCTACGGAATCACGCTTTTCCTCGCCACTTACTTATGCCTGTACACCTCCAGTGGTTCCTCGCGCTGATTGACGTTTACAAATTACCCGGCAGAAAGTGTTCAATCTTTGACCCGTGTGTTTCTATTCAGCAATGAGTAAGATTTGCAAGCATTTTGTCATATAATTACTGCAAATCCCTTGAAAATTTCCACAACAACGCTTAGATGAACGGTAATTTGCTCTGACAGCTGCTGATTCTTTTACAATAAGCTGGGATGCAAAACAGTTTCATATATATATATATATATATATATATATATATATTCTCTCTATTTCGGATCTAAGATATCTGGAGAGGAAAATATGTACGACATTCTGCATTTTGCACCACGTGTAACGTAACCAGACTCTTTCAAGATTTATATTCATGCATGGCTTGCTTGTACTGTAGCTGCGGTTTTTGTTTTTGTTTTTTTGTATTGATGGTCTGGGTTCTCCTCTGCTCTTTCTCCCCCCCCCCCCCAACAAATAGCAATTCTACATTTTTATTATGCCCCGGTAATATGCATAGATCACCAGCGTTGTTCTCCGTGAAATTTATTCCACCTTTCAGCATGCTCTTGATGGGACTTATTACATTACCGGTTGAGTGAGGAGATTTGATACGACAAAGCTTCAGAACAAGCCCCTCGTAACGCTCAGATGCCAGCCAAGAGACCCAACATGATAACGCCACCTTGTAATGGGAGCGGTTCTCCCCCTGCCCCGGTGTCTTCGCTGACCTTAAGGCTGGCCCTGGTTAATGCTCCAATCCTGTATTGCAGGAGCAGAGGCAGCTGCCTATATGAAGTCAGGCCCATTGGCCTATCTACACTAGTACCACCTACACTGACTGGCAGCAGCTCTCCAGGGTTTCGGGCAGGCCGTCTTTCCCAGCCCTACCTGCAGATGTCAGGATTTGAACCTGGGACCTTCTGCTCGCAAGGCAGACACCCTGCGACTGAGCTCGGTCCTGCCCTAAAGAAGTACAAAGGAGTGTCGGGTGGATCATCCTTTAAGCCGGCAAGAACAAATTATTTGGGTGGTACTACAGGCCTTCGCCAGTGGTGGGTGGAGCCAGAGGAAGAGGTGGGTGGGGCAATAGATGCAAATTTTGCCCAATAGGCTAGTTTCTACACACACTGCTCTCCATTGTCTATCCAGGCAACCAATATGTGCATTTTTATGCACAGTCCTGCCCTCACATACGCATCTTGGCTGTTTGCAGAACAGCTTGGCGATACTCAGCGGAGGGCAAATGTCAGCTGAGAGCTGCATTTCAGTTCGTGCGAATTAGGAGTGCGAATTAGGTGGTTTCTCATTAAAAATGGACACAAAGTCAGTACGTTTCCAAGCACAATTCAAAGTGTTGGTGTTGACCTTTAAAGCCCTAAACGGCCTCAGCCCAGTATACCTGAAGGAGCATCTCCAGCCCCATCGTTCTGCCCAGACGCTGAGGTCCAGCACTGAGGGCCTTCTGGCGGTTCCTTCCCTGCGAGAAGCCAAGCTAAAGGGAACCAGGCAGAGGGCCTTCTCAGTGGTGGCGCCCACCCTGTGGAACACCCTCCCATCAGATGTCAAAGAGATAAACAACTACCTGACATTCAGAAGACATCTGAAGGCAGCCCCGTTCAGGAAAGTTTTTAATGTGTGACATTCTAGTGTATTTTTTGTCTTTGTTGGAAACTGCCCAGAGTGGCTGGGGAAACCCAGCCAGATGGGCGGGGTACAAATAATAAATTATTATTATTATTATTATTATTTTATTTATTATTATTATTATTATTATTATTATTATTACCTCTTCCCTACCCTGCTAGTGTGCTCGCTCTCGCTCTCTCTCTCTCTCTGTGTGTGTGTGTGTGTGTGTGTTGGGGAGTATTCCCTCCCCCAGTTCAACATTCAGCAGAGCTGGGTTTTGTTGTTGTTTTCCAGACCTTGCCTGGCGCAACAAGTAAGTAAATAAAGAGCGCCCATGTTTTGAAGGCAGTGGTGATGCTATTCAGCAGTGTCAAGTCAGGCTCTTCTTTCAAAGCACCGGGGTCCGTTTTCGCCCTCATTCTCCTAATCTGGCTTCTTGCTCGTGTCTTTAGCTCCACTCCAGAACAAAGGTTAATGAATCGGAGGAGGGAGAGGGGGTGGCGGTGAAAATGATGAAGTGTCATAAAGCCTCAAGCATCATAAAAAGGTACAATGAAAACTGAGATAAGCTATTGAGTTATAAATACAAGCAATGCATGCTGCATCACTCAAAACAGCAGAAAGCCGCCGTAAAATAAGTCATTTTAAGTCTTCTCTGCCCCCCACCCTACAAGTGACTAAAGTCTTTTAATTCTCAAGGCATGCTTTCCTTTACGGGATCCAGTCCTCTTGCCTCCGTCACCAAGTGTGTTAGCATGCAACTTGGGGGACAGCCATAGAGAAAAAAATACATAGCCATACAGCTGAATACAATACAGACAACCCAATTATATGTTTCTACTGTATGTTTTGGGGAGTTGTTCATTGGCTCGCTAGGCATTTGGAAACCTCTTAAGACACTGTAAGATTTTGCCTGGTGGCCCTCGAGATCAAGGACCAGGTTTGGGAGGACATTTTGGGGACCTGTTGGAGGACATTTTGAATCAAGATGGTGGACTGAACATTTTGAAACTACACTGATTTTGCATGATGATTCATGAGATCAAGGAGCAGGTGTTTGCCTGTGTTTGGAATCGAACCTTTTGGGGGGAAAACCTTTTGAAACTGCATTAATTTTAAGGACTGTATTCAAAATTGCATTGGGGGTTTGGGGGGGGCTCTTGGAACTCCCAAGCAACTCTGGATACAAGAAGGCTGGTTTGTAAATATTCCTTCCCAACCCAGTGCATGCGTCGGCCACTGTGAGAACAGGAGGTGAACTAGATGGGACATTGGCCTGATCCAGCAACCAGGTTCCTCTTAGTTCTTATGAGTGCTTTCCAAACTTTTGATAACTTACTTATTTCTGGATTAAAATGGAAGGCACAAGTTTTTATTTTCTCTTCCCCCCCTTTATTACTCACAATTATATCTTTACATCATAGTCTTATATCCTACAAGTATACATTCTTTGTTTTCAAAGTATATTCATGATTATTATTGTCATCATTCTTAAGTCAACAAATATTACTATACACAAAAATGGAAAAAAAGATGTAATTTTAAAATCATAACATTCTTCATAAATGAATGACTTCCCGTCTCTTCCATTGCCTATATTTGTCTGTTGTCTTTTTATTTACAATATTGTCCTTTCTGTCGATTTTCCTTTTATATTTGTTGTCTACAGAAACTATGCAAAGGCCGTTACCGTTTTCAGATTGCAGCAGCTACTCTTTAAATATCCCTGAAAACATTCCAATTTGAAACAAATTCCTGTTTAGATTTATCTTTGATTCTTTCTGAAGGGTAGTCTAGCTCCACATACTCTGTCAGTTTTTGTATCCAATCAAATCTGGTGGGTGCATATCCACTTTTCCGATGTGCAGCTATTATAACCCTCACAGCTGTGGTGGCCTACAAAAAGACTTTCCTTGGTTTTTTTTAGGGGTATCCAAACCAGAAATACCCAATAAGAATGATTCTGGGTTTTTCAGAATATTCACTTTGGAGGGAAAATTGAGTTCAAAATAAATACCATTCCAAAATGGTTTAATCCCTTTGCATGTCCACCACATATGTAATGTGGTTTTTTGTTTTCTCAGTCTGCTCCCAGAAGGAACACAAGGAAGCTAACCTTACACTGAGATAGATTCTCAGTCTATCTACACATAGGAACTTAAGAACATAAGGAGAGTCTGCTGGATCAGGAAATGTTGCATTTCTATGGTATGATGCATGTCTCATGTACATATTGGGTCCAACATGCTTACCTGATGGGATGACATCAGTGTGCATCAGCAGAACTTAGAACAGAAGAGGAGGATTGATGGGACCAATGACCCATTGGCATCCTGTTCTCACAGTGGCCAACAAGATGCTTGTGGGAAACCCACAAGGAGAATCTGAGCACAAGTGCAGTATTGTCCACGTTTGTCCCAAGATTGTCCACACTGACCGGCAGCAGCTCTCCGAGGTTCTCAGACTGGGGACACTCCGAACCCTACCTGGAGATGTTCAGGGATTGAAGGTGGGACTTTCTGCCTGCAGGTGCTGGACCACTCCAATATGTGACAAATGGCTGTGGACCTTCCAGGATAAATTGAAGACTGCCTCCTCCCACACCCCAATACAAAACATTAATCTGCCTGGCTTAGTATTTACATTGAGTGGCTTTCTCCAGCTCTATGTCACTGACTGTTGTTGTTGTTTAGTCGTTTAGTCGTGTCCGACTCTTCATGACCCCATGGACCAGAACACGCCAGGCACTCCTGTCTTCTACTGCCTCCCGCAGTTTGGTCAAACTCATGCTGGTAGCTTCAAGAACACTGTCCAACCATCTCGTACTCTGCTGTCCCCTTCTCCTTGTGCCCTCCATCTTTCCCAACATCAGGGTCTTTTCCAGGGAGTCTTCTCTTCTCATGAGGTGGCCAAAGTATTGGAGCCTCAGCTTCAGGATCTGTCACTGACTGCAGTTTTGCCATTTTAGGCACTTTAGCAACTGTGGTCAAATGGTCCTGTTTGTATTTTACCGAGCACCATCCTGGACTTGTGCAGGGGAAAGGGGTGGCATATAAATGCAAAACAAAGGAGGGGGGGAATGCAACTGAGCTGTTTCTGCTCCCTTTGTTTTGAATGTAAGATTGAAGAAAGAGGGGAGAGAGCAAGAGATTATTAAGATAATGATGATTCCCCTTTGAAATATTGGAAACCTATGATGGATAGCTTGCTGTGATTGTTTGGATGACTAGCATACACAAACACACACACACACACACACACACACAGAGAGAGAACTGTGCAGCATTGCTGATAATGAAACATGATCACAAAAACCTTATCCATCCAATAGGTGTTCAGAAACATGTGCATTTTCAGAAGAACGTTGCTGGTGATGCTGAACAGAGGGACATGATTTGGGTTGAGACCCTGTGCATATTTACTTAGGAGTGCACCTTTGAGTGTGTGGTAATTTTAAATTTCACAGAATCCTAGAACTGTAGAATTGGAAGGGATCCCAAGGGCCATGTGGCTAAACCCTTGGGAATGCAGCAGTCACAGCTAAAGAATTCCTGACAGACGGCCATCCAACCTCTGTTTGGAAACCTCCAGTGGAGAATCTGTTCCACTGCCTAATAGCTCTTACTCTCTGTAAGTTCTTCCTAATGTTTAGTCATAATTTGTTGGTTCAGATCCTCCCCTCTGGAGCAGCAGAAAACAAGCTTGCTCCCTACTCCATGTGACAGGCCTTCAGCTATTCGAAGATGGCTATCCTATGACTTCTCAGTCTTCTCTTCTCCAGGCCAAACATACCAAGCTGCCTCAGCTGTTTCTCACAAGGCTTGGTTTCCAGACCGTTTATCATTATTGCCCTACTTGGAGATGTCTGGGATTGAGCCTTGATAGGCAAACCAGAAACTCCAACCCTGATCTGCAGTCCTTGCTTCCCAGCCATAAAGTACCGCTATGTTTAATGGAACTTGATCCCACGTGAGAACGGTGCTTGGAGTGAACTAATTCAGGCTAACTAATTCACCGAATTAATTCAAAAATCCTATGTTGCACCTGAAAGTTGTTTGTGCAATTTCTAGGTGAACGTGAATTAAATTGGGTGCTTTTCAATTCATTGTGTTTGTGTGTGTGTGTGTGTGTGTGTGTGTGTGTCTACAATGGATCCGCTGGATACGAATGTAATTCGTTCTGGGGGTCCATACGCACCCAAAAAAATCCGTAAGCAGAGGCGCCGCTTCTGCGCCCAAGTGCGGCACAATAGAGCACTTTTGTGCATGCATGAGGCACACAGAGCGCTTCTGCACGTGCGCACATGGTGAAACCCGGAAGAATACACT